ATGGTATCTCTATTTGCAACTTTTTGAGAAAGCGCCATACTGCTTTCCACAGGGGTTGCACCATTTTACACTCCCACCAACAGGCATATTTTTTTATACTGCTTATTATCTTCAATCTGACCTCTGTACCTTCCAGCTACTCCATGAGAGTTTAATTAATACAACCTGATTCTATTGGGAAACTGAAAACTAATCAATCACCATCAGGTTGATTCTGATTCACAGCAACGTGATAGGACAGTCTAGAATCACTTCTTTGGATTTTCAAGGTTGTCAATCTTTGCAGAAGCAGACTGTTCAATCCCTTAGAACAACTAGTGGCTTGAACCACTATCCTTGCAGTTAGCAGACAAGTACTTTAACCCTTATGCCACCAAAACTCCTAGTGCAGATTCTGTTAAAAATTTATTATAATCATTCACCAAATCTCTCTATTCAAGTTTAACAATTTTAGTATAAATAAAACCTTTTAAAATTTGTGTTACAGCTCTGGTGGCCTCATGACAAGAAGCTGTGCTGCAATCCCAGTGGCATGTAGTTCAAGGCCACCAGCTGTTCCACGGGAGAAGGATGGGCAGTCTCCTCCCGCTCCATTTATTGTCTCTGAAAACCTGCCGGAATGTCAGCTATGGGTCATTTCCAACTCTGCAGTAAACAGCAACAACAGCATACATTGCTCACATTTACTCATTGCCTTCAAGTCAGAAGTGACTCATAGCTGACCCTTTAGTGAGCTTTGGCAGGCTGTGGATACATTAGGATATGCAAATTTTTTTCTTTTCTTTTTTTTTTTTTTTTACACAGCTCAGTGACCTTGTATATACATGTTTACTCATTGTTCATTTCAAAATACAAAATTTTTTCATTCCTGATTCCTTTGGTGCCTTTTTCAGTTACAAACTTCTCTTTCCACACTAATAAATAACTATGTATATTACTATAAATTTATTTTGCCTAGAATCTTTTTTTTTTTTTAATGTTCCTTATTTTTCTAAATACTTAATCATCTTTTTAAAAAAAAAATTCTTAATAGTGAGAATTCAGTGTTGATTAGAAAGTAAGTTATTTGTATATCCCATCATGAAATGAGTTACAGAGATTACGGGGTGAGGAAACCAAGTCACGTTCTGGAGCCAAATTTTTACCACGTATAGTAACGTTATTTTTTCAGTGAATTCTCAGAATATATTTAGTATTTGACTTTTAAAACAATTGGAGTTGTTTATTTGATCTGTGCATATCTTTATTTGAAGTCTTCAGATACTTGATTTTGTATTGTTTTTCTAGGAGCTCTGGTGGCCTAGTGGCAAGAAGCCGTGCTGCAATCCTGAAGGCATGCAGTTCAAGGCCACCAGCTGCTCTGCGGGAGAAGGATGGGCAATCTCCTCCTGTACGATTAACTGCCTCTGAAAACCCCCTGGAGGGTCAGCCATGGGTCGGTTCTGACTCTGGTACACAGCAACAACAATCTTACACGAAAAGAAAAAAAAATCAGAATTCAAACTGGAAACAAAAGGTATTTGTGTATTTATAAAATGAATGACTAACCTAGATCACAGTATTAATGGAGGTATGTTTAGAAGTTACAAAGTACCATAAACATCTCAAAAAACAGTCGATTATATTTTAGTAAAATATGTGAACTTGATTTCTAGTCTACTAACTACAGAAGATGCCTCTTTTGATTTAACCTATTTTTTTCATCTATTTTTCAAGAATAAAATGCCCATATTTTTCTTTCTGTAGACTTAACAGGATTTGGGGCTTATTTCCTAAAGTGAAAGTGCTTCCTGTTTATGATTACATATTAGTTCTGGGAGCAAAGTAGATAAACAGAAATGAACTTGCATATAAGCAGCTTATTTAAAGTTTTCAATAACATTGCTTTCCATGTTTTTTTAATAAAATTGTCCTTTTCCTACCCTCTTCCTCCACAATGCCAGGATTCATACCGAAAACAGGTGGTTATAGATGGTGAAACCTGTTTGTTGGACATATTGGATACAGCTGGACAAGAGGAGTACAGTGCCATGAGAGACCAATATATGAGGACAGGCGAAGGTTTCCTCTGTGTGTTTGCTATCAATAATAGCAAGTCATTTGCAGATATTAATCTCTACAGGTACTAGAGACTTTTTTTTCCCCTGGAAAGATAATGTTTAAGTATCTCCTTAAGCGTTATGAGGAGTGTGGATGCCACATTGAGGTAGATGAAATTAAGGGGAAAGAGTTGATTTTACGTTGCTTCTGATTGAGAATCACATTGCTGTTCAAAATTAATACTGGAATGTTACATAATGCACTATTTCTAGACTATGATAATATGTATATGAAGCTTGCTAATGGAACAGTTCAGAACTAGACTGTTGTAATGAAAGATCATGAAGGGCTTTTTTGAGAGGAACAAACCTGAGAAACATTTTTTCAGAAAATAATAACGAAGATAAAAGATAGATTTTTATATTAAAAAAAAGACAAAAGAACATAGTCTTTGTGTGACTATCACTTAAAAAGCTAGGTTTGGCCATAAAAAATTTGTTTTTTAATTTTTTATTTTTTTGTGTGTGTATCATCAAATCAAATCTGACTGGTATAGGAGGAGATTTCCCCTCCTTCTCCAGCAGAGCGTCTAGTGGATTCGAACTGCAGTGCAGCATAAAAAATTTCTAGTACAACGTTCTTACTGTGTAGAATCAGAAAATGTTTTGTTAGGTTTTCAGAATTACAGAGTTAGGGCCAAAACCAAGGACTACTGTTTCTTAGCCATGAGTTATATAGCAGTTATATACAGTTATATAGCAGTATATATACAGTTATATACAATGGTTCAGAACATAGCTTTTCATTGGTTAAAACTTTGCTCCATCATTTGCTACTTGTGTGTTTTCTGGACAGACTGCTAAGACTTTGTACTACAGTTTTCTTATATGTTATCTAAAGTTAATAGTACATACCCCATAGAGTTTGTGAAGGTAAAATGAGTTCATGTATATGTTTCTGAATCACTCAGATTAGTACCCATCACACAGTAAATACCCTGAAATTGTTCTGCCTTCAGCCATGATGTCTTACTTATCCTCCATTCGTGTGAAGATGTCTGCTCACAGAAACTGTTGTAATGAAAGATCATCAAACTAGTCCCAAACAACGTTCATTGGTGTGGGGTTTTTTTTCTCTTAAACCTGTTCTACTTTCCTTTTTCTTTTGCTGGAAAGATAGCAGTAATGTGTAATAAAATATCCACACTTAGCACATTCATTTGTTGATAGGAACTCTCAGAAGTAATTTTTCTTGTTCCTTAAAAGACATTTATTCACTTTGCATTTTATACCTAAAGCTGAAAATAAATTTTATTTTTATTTATTTTATTTTTTTTTTTTTTTTAATTTGTGTCAGTGTACGGTCAAATCAGATCTGACAGGTACAGGAGGAGATTGTCCCTCCTTCCCCGGCAGAGCATCTGGTGGATTCGAACCGTGAGCCTCTGGGATTGCAGTGCAGCTTCTTGCCACTAGGCCACCAGAGCTCCCCATGAAAATAAATTTTAAATATCTTGTAAAAAAAATGTACCAAGAATGTGGTTTGAATCTACCAAATGCTTTGTTGGAGAAGGAGGGGCAATCTCCTCTTGTACCAGTCAGATCCAGTTTGACAGTACACACACAAAAAATAATTTTAAAAAAAAAAAGTACCAAGTAAAGAAGATAAGTAAGTTTTAACAAGTAAAGCAATGAGAAAGTTCATTTTATTTTAAAAATGTACTTTAGAATGAACTTATTCTGTAACTGTGTGCCATAAAACTATGTTGAATACAAATTTGACAGCTAATCAGTTGCTCAGAATAAAGAGAATTATCCCAGGACTAGAAAGAAATTTCTGATGGCTCAAGAAGAAGGGGGGGGGGGGCTTATAAAAAGTTGTAGCAAGCCAGTAATAGCAAAAGGAAGTTCTGATTGCCTATAAGGAGTTGTACTAACCCAAAGATGGTGATTCTCATGGTTCTAAGAGAGAAAGATGAGCAGTTTCCTCCCGTGTTCTTTACAGCCTTACAAACCCAATGGAGGATTAGCTAGAAATCGATCCAGACCAGAGAATTCATTAGGCTTGCTTTATTATTTAACAGCTTTCTACCTTTGTACTGACAGTGTAGTTTTGCAGGTGCCCAGTGTAATGTAGTTCAAGTACAAGAGTTCTAGTGCTGTATAGTACATTAACTGTAATTTAATTAAATAATATTTAAAAGCTAGTTCCTCAGCCATACGAGATCTTTTTTCAAGTGTTCAGGCAACTCATTTGGCGTACTTGAAAGCAGAAACATAGAGCATTTCTTTTCATTGTAGAAAATGCTGCTGGACAGTGCTTTTAGAGAATCCAGACATATTCTGGAGTCTGTCTAACGTGTCACTGATGAATTGGGCATGCCACACCCCTTCTAATTAGAGCAGTTCTAGTTTTTCCTGTTTGATATGTTAGACTTCAGTTCTAATTTGGTTATAAGAAAGTATTGGATACCACTCTTCTAAATAAGGGGATAGGCTGTTTTTTATTAAATTCTGTTACTCTCTGAAGAAACTTCAGAAAGTTAGAGGTAATGAGTTTTCAAAAGTTCTACTCCCAGAATTTAAACTAGAGTGCAATTTTTGAGTCACCAGTTAAATCCAGCGCTCCTTCCCCCCACCCTTTTTAAAAAACAAAACAAAACAAAAAAACCATCAGACAGGGTTAGATCAAATTGCAGTCTACTTCCACAAAGAATTAAACTGGCACTTGGCTACCTGTGATGATTATAACAAATCTAAAAAATCTTAAGTTACAAGATTTTATGTAAGTAATGGGAAAATGCAAAACTCACTACTATAATAAAATTATATAACACTTACCAGTTTCTCTTTTGCCCTAACAATTTATTCCTCCTGAAAGCTTGTTTATTGTATCCTGATAACATTCCTTTTTTTTTTTTTTTTTTTAGGGAACAGATTAAACGAGTGAAAGACTCAGATGATGTACCTATGGTGTTGGTAGGAAACAAGTGTGATTTGCCTACAAGGACAGTTGACACAAAACAAGCGCATGAATTGGCCAAGAGTTATGGGATTCCATTCATTGAAACCTCAGCCAAGACACGACAGGTATTTAGTTAAAATGAAGTAAAATTTAGAAGTCTGTTCTTCTGTCAAACTGGTAGCTTTGCTTTCCCCACCCCTTTAAGGTAAAAATATTTGGTGTTTCTGAAATAAGACCAACAGTCTATGTTCTTACATGTTTTTAATGCTGTTTTAAGATCTTTAATGTCAAAATAAATTTTTTTAATTCTGGTATAGGATTTTATGGTTCTACATTAATTTTTGAACTCTGGTAAGAGGTAGTTGTAAGCTAATGGTAAAAAATGAATTTATTATTCTGCTTTAGCATTTTTTGGAGCTCCGGTGGCCTTTTTTTCTATAGTTCTACATGAATTCTGGAGCTCTGGTAGGAGCTAGTTGGAAGAATCTGTGCCTCAGTCCTGGTTTGTACATGGTTCAAATCTATCAGCTGCTCTGTGACAGAAGGGTGGCCGATCTCCATGCTCAATTTACTGCTCTGTGAGTTAGTTCAGACATGACAGCACAAACAACAACATGAATATACACAAATGTTCATACAATGAACTACTTTTTTTTAATTTTTTTTTTACAATGATCTTCTTGATTAAGCTATTCATAAGCATTAATCCTTTCTTGGATTGGTCCATTCAAGTCAGTCACCATTTTGGGTAAATGCCCTTGAATCGAACCTTTAGATCTCCTAGTTACCCATGTTTGACACAACTCTTTTTCCTTGTCTCTTTAGGGGGACAAAGACAGAGACGTCTGTCTCCTTTGTCTATACCATTTGTATATCATTCTGTTACGGTGATTCATTAAGATAATAAATTTAATATTCTTCCCAAGAAACTCCATTTTACCAGCTAAAGGAATTTTAGACTACGTGTTATTTTAGTGATAGGAATTTAAAAATTAAAACACATGTGAAATACAAATAATAGAGAATTTAAAATTTCCATTGGGTCACTTGAGAGTTTTCTTTCCTTTGACTGTTCTTTCATAGGGTGTTGAAGATGCTTTTTACACACTGGTAAGAGAAATACGTCAGTACCGAATGAAAAAACTCAACAGCAGTGATGATGGGACTCAAGGTTGTATGGGGTTGCCATGTATGGTGATGTAATGAGGTGAGCATTTTGTTCTCTTGACATAAATCTTACCATTTAGCATCAGAAAGTTTGGAGGAATGTCAGTTTATTTTCTCTGTTATTTAACTGACCATCTTGGCTCACGTATAGCTATAAAATACTTTTCTTGGTGGTTTTTCTGAGACTAATGAAATCTGAACTATTTTCAAAACAATAATTCTACAGACATCTTCACATTTTTTAATTAGTATTAGTAATTACAATATATTATGAAATATCCCTTTTTTAATTTGTGTGTGTATGTGTACACCATCAAATCTGATCTGACAAGCATCTGGTTGATTCGACCCATGCACCTCTTGGACTGCAGTACCGCTTCTTGCCGGTAGGCCACCAGAGCTTGCCAAAATATATCCATTCTTGGCAGTGTCTTTGAGTTTAAAGAAAGATGACAATCATGTGGTATAATTTTTTTTTCTCTTACAGATACTTACAAAGTTCTGTCATCATAAAAGAGCCACTTTCAAGGTAGGATAAATTTGGAGATGTATTATTTGAGTTGGAGTTTTTTAAACTTGATTTTTGTGTACCCTTTATATTCCACTCACATGAATTCTGTGTTTATTTTAGCTGCACTGATACCTGGTCCTGACTTCCTGGAGGAGAAGTATTCCTGTTGCTATCTTCAGTCTCACAGAGAAGCATCTATACTTCCCCAACTCTGAGTAGATCAGTAAAATATTCTGTTTGAGAAGTTCTCAGAATAACTACCTCCTCATGTGGTTGTCTGGCCAGAGAAATGCACCTCTTGTTACTACCAAGTATTTTCCTTCCCTGGATTTTCTCCCCTCACACACATAGACCTCTGCCATCCCAGATTTTCATTAGAAAAGCAGTTCATGCTCTGAAACAGAACCAAACTGTAGACATGAAATTCTGTTGAAAACAGTGTCTTGAGCTCAAAAATAGTAATACTGATTATTTTTTCCTTTCCTTTTCCCTTTTTTTTTAAAATCCTTTTTACTATTGAACGTAGAACAATATTGGGTTTGGGAGAAATGTCCTAAATTGCTGTTTAGACAGACTAGTTAATGTTGCCATTTGGTTTGCATGTAATGTTACTGGCTGCTTTAAGTTGGCATCTGCTCTGTATTCATAAATACAAAAATGAATACTGACCTTTGAGTATATCCAAGTCTTCTCGACTTTGATGTAATTAAATCCAACTCAAAATGAAGTGCCTTTTTTCAAATGTGGTTGTAAATTTCCTTTAAAATACTTAAATTGTGTAGATGTCTCAAAAATCATTATATATGAAAATGAATGTGTGATATATGGATTGGTCCATGCTTTTGAGGAAAAGATAATTAAACTCTGTTTAATAATAGATGCCATTTCTTACAAGAAATTGGTTTTCCAGAAGCCTGTTTACAGACTAATTAGAAGGGTTAAACTGGAAATAATTCTAAATAATTTCACTTAATTTTAACTTAATTGCCATATTTTTAATAGGTTACTACTACTATTTTAAAATGATACGTAGTTTGATTTTTTTAAAATTTCTCTAGTTTTCATTTCAGTGAACATCTACAGAGATTTTGGAATTCCATTCATTCATTGTTGTACCCCTCTCCCCGCCCCCCCATCCCCCACCCCCATGTAGTTTGATTCTTACAGCTTACTGATAATCAAGTATTCAGTGAACCTCCACTCATTCAAATTTGGGTCATACCAGAGAGCTCTACATTTTCAAGTGTTCAAATATTGTAAAACTTTCCTCAAATACAGTATATTAATAGACATACTACATTTTCATTCTTTAATGTGTTAATCTTAATTCTTTATATAACTTATCCTCAGTCCCTTGTTTACCCCATCTTCTGCCTGTTCATGCCACAGCAACAAGGGCTGAGTAATCATTTCGTTTGGGCAAAGCATGGTGCTAATAGAACAGGGTCACAGTTTCAAAACTTGAATGAGCCAGTAAGCATCACACAGGAAGAAATCCTTTCACATTTTCACATTGCACCACTGACTCCAGCTAGTAGTTTTGCCAGGTGCAAACTGAAGGGCTTGAAAGAAATAGGTCAGTTAGCACCCATCTCTCACTAGGACTGGAACAATAACAGTTTCCTAAGGGGTGTCAGTTTAGTAAAGTCTTTATCACAAATATTTAATGTTTTTGTTAACCACTAAGATAATCCAATAAATTTTCTTATTAAAGTTTTTTTTTAAAGGAGGAGAGTACCTTCAAATCCAAACTAAAAAGATTTTCTTATACAGAATGTTGTTTGAAGGATTTAAAACAGAATTTCTACTAATCTATCCTGTGCATACCAGATAATCAGAGCTGATGCGTTTGATTTGGTTTTGGGTTTGTTCTTTTTTAAATTTTTATTTCATATTTGTTTGCATATACTTACGTGTTTATTGAAGACAGGAAGGAGTCTTTTAATTGAAGTAGTAGCTTGAGAAAGAAATGGAAAATAAAATTGATCATTACTTACGGGAATTTGGAGGCTTGACTTTTCCATTTGCCAGAAAAAAATCTGGTTATATGAGAAATAGATTTGGATAACTTTGATAAAAGAATAATTCCAAAGGGATAGTCTCTGTTCAGATCTTCTTTTGTCTAAATACTGAGGTCCCCTATCTTCTGTTATGAATATACATTTGTAAGGTCTACCCCACACTACCTAGAAGGAAATTCACAAGAGGAATGAGCCATCCGCTGTATATTTTTTCACATACAAACATAAACACACATAACCATATAAACTCAGTGCTGTTGAGTGCTTATTTGGAAGTTTTTACAGTACTGCAATCACCTGCAAACAAGCTCTCTGCTACTTTGTTTCCACTCCTTTGGAACATTACTCTGTAGTTTTTTCAGAGGCTTATCACCTCAGTATGTCATCAAGAGTTACTTCAAAGTGTCTGTGATTGACAACATAACTCTTCATTTAAAATAATCCAGTAAATTTAATATGTTACTAATTCAGTATATATTCTTTTCAGGCTCATAGCCCTTATCCCTGTGATTTTGCAAGTATATGCTAAGCGCAGAGTTATCTGAACAGAGCCAAAACTGAGTCTTCAAAAGTTAATTTATATTTAGGGTGAGTTTTGATATAATAGGATGACAGGTTTGTTTAATTTATGTGTTGTTTTTTAAAAAAAAACTAGCCTTCAGTTAATGTTATATGAAATGTGGTTTGAAGGATATATTTGTGTGTTAAAAACAATTTGAAGTTACCTCAAAATATGAAAGTATCCATCCCCAAGTAAAGTGCCTGTCAGCTGTCATAAATGATGTATTTCTTTGTTTATATTTTTTTAAATGTTGCAAGTTGAACAACAAAAATAGTATGTTCTGTTTAAAGGCTAGCATGCATGATCTGTAAATGAATATTAAGTGCTTTATTTGCTCAGATATCTTAGGTATAGAACATTACTATAAAATATCTTATTAACGCTTAAAAAGAGCCCACAAAACCTCAAACTCGTTGCCCTTGAGTCAGAACCATCTCATAACTGACCTTGCAGTTGGTGTTCAGAGGCTGTCTGTCACATGAGAGGAGATGCCCATCTTTCTCCTGCACGTAACACTTAAGAATGTAATAGATTAGTTTTATTTTAATGGATCCCATCCTTTAAAGTGCTGTGAATTTTTTGTTTTGACTTGAAAACCAAGAACAGAGAAACAATTTAAAGAGACTTTTCCCCCATTCTAGAATTTATGAGCATTTTGTTTCATATGTACCATCATAAATGGCAGCTAGAACCCAGAACAACAATAGGTGCATTCTGCTTTTTTTTTATTATTAT